GGGGCGGCCAACCCAGCCTGTCCTAAGTTTATACACATCCTCCCAATCGGATGAGCTTTTCAAGCATGTAGAGCGACTCTGGAAGATGGATGCAGTGCCTTACACATCTGAAAAGGAAGTGACCAGGTCAAAGCAGGATCTTCAAGCTGTAGCTCTGCTCGAAGCTAAAACAGTTCGCATAATGGTGGATGGTGTGCTGAGGTATGCCACACCTCTCCTCCGACATGCACAGATGCCACAACTGAATGCACCAAAGGAATCTGTCATGGCTATGCTTCGAAGCACAGAGAGACGCTTATTAAAGGATCCCCATCGGGCTGATGCCTACAAAGTAGAAATGGAGAAGCTGATTCATTCTGGAGTAGTAAAGGAAGTAAAACCAAACACCTCATCCAAGGAGAGCTGGTACATTCCCCATCATCTCGTCAGTCATAATGGGAAGAATCGCCTGGTTTTCAACTGCTCTCATAAATACCTTGGACAGTCCCTGAATCAGTTTCTGCTGCCTGGCCCCACTCTTGGAGCCCCTCTACTCGGAGTCCTAGTTAGGTTCCGTGAATACCCAATAGCTGTGAGTGGCGATATCAAGGGTATGTTCCATCAAGTACTTCTCCTCCCAGAGGATCGCCCCCTGTTGAAGTTCCTTTGGCGGGATTTGAAGGTGGATGAACCACCTAAAACCTTTGAGTGGCAGGTCCTGCCCTTTGGGACAACCTCAAGCCCCTGCTGTGCAACCTTCGCCCTACAGCGTCATGTGACAGAACATACACAGCCTGATGACCCCCTGAGATTCTCAATTGAGAAGTGTTTCTATGTAGACAACTGTCTACAGAGTGTTGGTTCACCTCAAGAGGCCAGAATCCTGGTAGACCGACTGAGAGAACTGCTAAAATCAGCCGGCTTCGAGTTACGTCAGTGGGCCTGCAATGATCCGAGTGTTGTGAGTCATTTGCCCCCTGAAGCGGGGTCTCAAAGCCTGGATCTGTGGCTGGCAGAAGACAAATCCAACTCTTCAGAGACAACACTTGGGCTCAGTTGGGACTGGAATACAGACTCCTTGGGCTATAAGCACAGACCTGTGTCCTATGAGACTCCAACTCTTCGAAACATCTATAGAGTTCTGGCGTCACAGTATGACCCTTTAGGCTATTTGCTACCTTTCACTACTCGGGCCAAGCTCCTCCTTAGGCAGTTGTGGGATAAGAAGCATGATTGGGATGACTCAAACCTTCCATCCTCACTCCTTCGAGCTTGGAACGACTGGGAGGAGGAGCTTAAGTTTCTGCCTCAGCTTACATTCCCACGTGCTTACGCTCCTGCTCAAACAAACTTAGAAAAGGACATCCGTGAAGTGCACATCTTCGCAGATGCATCTGAGAAAGCCTATGATGCCGTAGCTTACATGAGGACTGAAGAGTCCAGCGGTCAGGTTCACCTCACCTTCATCCTAGCTCGTTCCCGTGTAGCTCCAAAACGCACCCTCTCTATCCCGCGCCTAGAGCTTTGTGGAGCCTTGGTGGCAGCACAGTTGAGCAGTATCCTGAGGAAAGAACTCACCTCAACTATTACAAGGATAATCCTGTGGTCAGATTCGACTACTGTCCTCAACTGGTTGAGCTCGCAGTCCTGTCACTATAAAATCTTTGTAGGAGCCAGGATAGCTGAGATACAGGAGTTGACAGAAAACTGCACCTGGCGCTATGTAGACTCCGGAAGCAATCCAGCGGATGACCTGACAACGGGGAAGGCCCTGGCAGAACTCAAAGTGCCAAACAGGTGGTCAGATGGACCCTCCTTTCTGCTCCTCAGTCCCGACACATGGCCAGAAAGCCTAACTCTGAACCCTTTAATGAAGAATCAGAGCTCCGGAAGGCTGTCTTCTGTGGAACAGCAACCACCTCCGCACCTATCTGTCAGGGTGAAATGGAGTACAAGACATGGCAGGAGCTCTTGGATGCTTCTGTTAAGGAACTTCCAGGGCAAACGCTCTCAACTTCTCCGCCTAGTGCTGAGGAATATCAGGCAGCAGAACAAGCCATTCTTAGGCGAGCTCAACAGGAGTCATTTCCAGAAGAATGTCGTTTACTTGCTGAAGCAAAATCTGTTTCATCCAGAAGTCGCTTACTCACCTTGGCACCTGAACTGGATACCTCAGTAGGCCTTATTAGAGTAGGAGGTCGATTACGACGTCTAGGAAGTCTTGATGAATCGACACTGCATCCTATTGTCCTGGATTCTTCTCACCCCTTCACACGTCTTCTCATCCAGAAATATGACACTGACCTCCATCATCCAGGCCCTGAACGGGTCTTCGCAGAGCTGCGGAGATCTTACTGGATACTGCGTGGAAGAGAAGCGATACGCAAATACCAGCGTACCTGTCCGGAGTGCCAGCGGTGGAGGGCTCAACCCTCTATTCCGAGAATGGCTGATCTGCCGCCCGCTCGGCTTAGGTTATACAAGCCGGCCTTTTACTCCACTGGGGTGGACTGTTTTGGGCCCATGACTGTTAAAATAGGAAGACGGCTGGAGAAGCGCTGGGGTATCATTTTCAAGTGTCTGACAACAAGGGCAGTACACTTGGATCTCCTAAGCAGCCTGGATGCAGATGCTTTCCTTATGGCCCTGAGACGATTTATTGCCAGAAGAGGAAAGCCTGCAGAGCTATGGTCTGACTGTGGGACCAATTTTAAGGGAGGAGAACGAGAACTCAGAGAAGCCTTTGCCAATATGTCAGAAACGCTACAGGGGCAGCTAGCCTCCCAGAAGATTAAGTTTCAGTTCAACCCCCCTGCAGCCCCACATTTTGGCGGAGCGTGGGAGCGAGAGGTTCGTTCAGCGATGGCAGCTCTCCGAAGCTGTGTGGGTTCCCAACCTCTTCAGGAGGAAGTACTCCTCACAGTTCTTCTGGAGGTGGAATCCATACTGAACTCAAAGCCCTTGGGCTATGTATCAACTGACGTGGCTGACCTTGACCCTGTGACCCCTAATAGTCTCCTTATGGGGCGGCCCGATGGATCCCTACCCCAGGTGGTCTACCCAGAGATAGAAAACCTCAGTCGAAGACGTTGGCGGCATTCACAGATTCTTGCTGATCACTTCTGGGCGAGGTTCATCAGAGAATACCTTCCTGGATTACAGACAAGACACAAATGGCAATCAAACCCTCCTGGACTTCTGCAGAATGCAATCGTTATGATTGTGGATCCCCAGCTGCCTCGTGCCTTATGGCCGATAGGTCATGTGGTCAAGATTCATCGTAGCGATGATGGACTCATCAGATCAGCGGACGTGAAAGTTAATGGACATGTCTACACTAGGCCAGTTGCTCGGTTGGTTGTTTTACCAGCTGTGCCAGCTGAAGGAAAGGACACTGAGAAGATCAGCCCGTCACCCCCCAAAACTTAGTAAAGCCTTTTATGTTTAGCAAATGTGTAACCACATTTGGGGGCGGCTGTATAAAAGGCTCTGACATTCCTGTATTTTATTTTGTAATATTGGTTTAGTTTACTCTAGGAAGTGACGTAAGCCTCAGTTTAGTGCTGGCCACCGCTCAGGCAAGTAGTTTTAATATACTTTCAGTTTCAGTTTGCTCGACATGTGAGACCGCATTCTTGGTGAAGTTCTGATAAGTGATGCTCCGAGTGTTAAGTTGATGACAGAACGTAAGTTATCGCACCTAGCTTGCTGTTTGTTTATTCTAGATTCAGTTGTTATATGTGTAAGCTACGAGAGGACGGGTATTTGATATTGCGGGGGGTCTGAGCGCTGGAAGTAAGTTGAATCAGCTTGGCCCTCATAGGTTTACTATACTTTGGCGCCATCATGTGGCTGAATAAAATCCCTGCATAATGGTGGCAGCTGACAGCGCATGCTCTTAATAATGCTGCAATAACTCAATGAAAATAAAACAGATACAACCGAAATGCAGTTAAATAGTGTTTAAGTACATTTTATGTTCAACTGAGTCGAAGGGCTGTTTGTGTTCGTGTTTTATCATAGAGGCTGCGCCTAATAATGTAACCTTTATGTGAATTGAGTTACTTATATTTCGTGGATTTACATGCAAGTGGATGGTTAAGTTTATTCCTTATTGGATATTCAATTGAGTGTATTAGTTAAACCTCTGGTCTTGTAATATGTTAGCCTCATGGCAATTTATTTGTTATTACAGACTGCTGGCAACACTGAGCATCACGACAAATAAACCAGCTCACATCCAAAGTGGAGTTTGATCTCGTGTCCTCTTTCCTGTATCCTGACCGATACACCATCCGGTTGGCTACAAAATACCTGAGAACCTATCCTAATTAACACACCTTATCGGTCATATCCAACATGCTCACATAAAAAATCAAATCCCAATTTAATCTTTGTATTTTGTTTTGAAATGTCCTGGGAAATACCCCCTTTCTCTGGACATAAATAATAGTTATTTTCCTACCACCTAGGAAGATAATTCTGTGGTACATATTTCCAAAGCATGGTTCTCCCTGACTAGAAGTGAATCAACTAAATTTTATCTATCTTGATTTTGTGTATTTGCATTATTTAAAAAATATTTTTCATAACAGTTGTAGTCATTATATATATATATATATATATATATATATATATATATATATATATATATATATATATATATATATATATATATATATATATATATATATATATATATATATATATATATATATATATATATATATATATATATATATATATGCTTTAACTGTCATCTGGCTTTAAATTATGGTTAAAGAAAAGTTGTGTTGCAGATCTTGTTTCACCAATTCAACACGGGTTTAGACCCTGAAGCCAATTAGAGTATATTCTATGCAGATATAGACAGGAGCTCTAGGTTACAGAAAACTAAATTGTAAAAAAGTTAAGTTTAGTTATTCATCTTTATACACACAGATCTATGGAGCCTAAAATAATCCTCATCTTCCCTGAAAAGAAAATTTTATTAATAAGTCAGAGAAGTCATCTTAACTCACCTCAGTTTTGTTGATAGACAGCTCAATGTCAAATCCATCCCTCTTATTAATCCTCTTAGCATTGCTTTTGCGGAGAAATTGTTTACATTTCGGACAATTCAGTTCAGCAGATGCAGGCTAAGGAATAAAAAAATGTATTGGCATTCAAAATCATGACATTTGCTTTTTTTTTTTATTACCCAAAGAGCTATCTCTCACATTTGTGGAAAAAAAATAATTATTTGTTTAAATTCAGATCATTTTAGTTTCAATTTAAATTTACATAAAAAATCAGTTTGATGATCTTAAAGATTTAATTAGTATAAAAAGGCTAAAACAGCATAGGTGACAATTACGCTCTCATGTAACTCTACAAATAGCTATAATACCCAAGGTTAAACATCACCTTGTTTCCGAGGGTTAACTCATGTGAGGTCAATACAGTGTTGTCACTCCCATTGTACAGACAAATATTGAATTTACATGGGCCGTTTTTCTCCATTGAAAAATTAACAGATGTACCAACATCATTTTTACAGGTTGTACACTTCAATAGGGAATCTTCGGTTTCAACCTCCTTCTTTGATTGTCCTTTGGTATCATTAGCCTGAAAAAAGAAACGTAGTTTGTGTCAGAAACTAAAGATGACAAGCTGGTTTCCTTAAACAAGAGGATAGAAGTTTCTGAATTTCATGCAGCTAGAGAGATAAACGTAAAGACATTTAATCAACTAAATTAAATAAAATCTACTAAAATTACTAGAAATAAAAACAAAAAAAGTTGTGCTAACATCCAAAAAGTTAATTTCTATAAATGTGCAAAATGTTGCTGAAAGACAGAGTTCTAAAATTATTTGACTAACTTGGTTGTTTATCCATTTAATTGTATTGCTTTATTGATTTCTTCTTTCAGACTTGGACATGTTGCAAACAGAAATGTTAGCAAACATAGCTCACAGACAGAAGCTACTGTATGTTGGTTACAGAAGAATAAACTGTGTAAATTTGAGTTTTTTTTTTACAATTCTATATACACAGATCTAACAATTTTTTGAGTTAAACTAGATCTGCTTATCACTAAATAACTCTGACCAAACAAGGCTGAAAAGTCATCATAACTTACACCAGGGGTTTCGATTGAAAACTCAATGTCAAATCCATCTGTCTTAATATTTTTTTTAGCAATCGCTTTGTAAAGAAAACTGTGTTCACAGTTTGGACATTTCACTTCAATATCTGCTGACTGAGGAGAAAACAGAGAAAGCTTGTGTTAAACATTTTTTATGATGAGATTAGAGTAAAACCTACTTTGTTAAAACTATACAAATTAGTCAGTCAAACAAAATAGTAGTGAAATCTAATTTCTAGCTGTGGTCCAGATAAACAAAACAGTTTTGCTCTAAAACAGCTGTTTTTCTGGCGAGGTGGGAGTAAGGATGCCCTGTCATGTACTTCAACAGGCCATTCATGCTTGAATGCTGAAGGGCCATTTCTCAATTCACAAGAACGTGAGTACAGACTCGTGTCCTTGCCGTCCTTGACGTATGGACTTGGGGAAAATGGGAGCACGCAGCATAAATATGTGTCAACTGGAACAGAAGCATACTCGTGCGGTCACCAGATGCTCGGCTTGTCTGTAGCAGCTTTTTACCTCCTGTTATAAATAGCATCTAGATAAAAAGTAATTCTTCTTTTTTTATTTATTGAAGGAATAATAGTTAACTAAGTCAGATAAACATAAGTCAGATGAACATTTTGCTAAATAAAACAAAAAACTCGCCATCGTAGCCAGTGGTCCTTCACACACGGCTATGGCGAGAGAGGGCTGCTACAGACAGGCTAGGATTAGCCCTGGCTGCCATTACCCTCGGAGGTCCGCTGGTTGCTGTGGTCCTCTCAGCTTCTGAAATATTTTCTAAAATTACGCATCAAATCAGTAAATGGGCCATATAGAGATGCTTAAAAGTATAAGGTTCTCGCCTCAAATGATCTTAAAATGTACCTTCACTGAACAACGGCAACAGAAAGGAGAACTTTTAAATTAATACTCTGAGCTTTTAGCGCACCATTGGAAGCTGCTGCTGCCACAGTGCATGATGGTACAGCTATCAATCTCAAGAACAGACAAGTCTGCTCTGATGCATGTCACTACCCGATCCAAACCCGAAAGCATGATCCGACCTGCGCATTCGCCATCAGCTCATTTTCACATGCGCATCCAGATATATATCTAGGTCATCTTTGATTTTATTTTGTTAAAAAGAAATAAATGCTTTTCCCCTCCCCAAAAATAGTAAGCGTACTAAAATATAATGTGTTAAAGGTTCATAATGTATTTCCTGAGAAAATAAATGCCTTAAAATCCTTTCTGTTTTATCATTCGTCTCTGTCCAATCTGCACCGCAAATAAGATCCTTTGAATTTATACTATTAATATATTATTAATATAGTCTTTTTGAGTTTTATGTTCATGTTAACATTATAGTATATAGTAGGGGTGGGTATTGGCAAAGAAGTCATTATTCAATTCGAATCGGGATTCACATGCCATGATGCGATTCTATCACGATGCATCACGATACTTGAAATACTGCGATGCATCTCGATGCATCACAATAGTTCTGAACTCTGTCAGAAAAAGATACAGCCCTTACCAGTGGCTGACTGGCTTGGTATGATCTGGATAGTGTCTTCAATTGATACATAACTGAAAGCAACTGAATTCATACATAGCTGTATTTATTGAAACGACTTTTGGAGGTGTTGCCATGAAAACAAATACTGGACACAAATATTACTATTACTGGCGTGGACATACTGACAAAAAGATCTTAGGATTCATCAAACTTAAAATAACAAAATAAGGATAATCAGAACCGTTTACATGGTCTCAGTGGTCCTTTTGCAAATTACGTGAATCATATCGATTTCATTTTTACCTTCTTTGTTTTTAAAGCCAGAATGCATCCAAGCGTCTGACTTGAAATGTGATGGAGCCGGGGGGCGAATTTTCTCAGTCTCAGTCTCTTAAACCAAATCTAAAAACAATGAATAAGCCTAAATATTCAGGCATGTTTATTAAAAAAATAGACTTTGAAAGGGCCTGCAGAGATACAGGTTCTGTTGCACATCTCTTCAAAACAGTGATGTTTCTTCACCCTCTAATTAATAAAACATAACTCTAAGTGCTTCACATAATCATTTTGCACGTCATTGATTTAAACCGCGTGATCTTTTAATAATTGGGTTTGTGACTCAAACGATTTCACTGTAAATTTTCAGAGTACTTCTGTCTACAGTCGCACCTTATCGGTCATATCCAACATGCTCACATAAACAATCAAATCCCAATTTAATCTTTGTATTTTGTTTTGAAATGTCCTGGGAAATACCCCCTTTCTCTGGACATAAATAATAGTTATTTTCCTACCACCTAGAAAGATAATTCTGTGGTACATATTTCCAAAGCATGGTTCTCCCTGACTAGAAGTGAATCAACTAAATTTTATCTATCTTGATTTTGTGTATTTGCATTATTTAAAAAATATTTTTCATAACAGTTGTAGTCATTATATATATATATATATATATATATATATATATATATATATATATATATATATATATATATATACCTGTCATCTGGCTTTAACCTGGACTAAAATATGGTTAAAGAAAAGTTGTGTTGCAGATCTTGTTTCACCAATTCAACACGGGTTTAGACCCTGAAGCCAATTAGAGTATATTCTATGCAGATACAGACAGGAGCTCTAGGTTACAGAAAACTAAATTGTAAAAAAGTTCGCCGGGGGGCGAATTTTCTCAGTCTCCTCCATATTTTGTTTACGAATGACTCGTCTCAGTATCCCACAGCCGGACATGCTTGTGACACAAAGCAGCGGGCGTCAACACATCTGCTGGACTGGAAGTTGTATTCCACTTGATTTGGCTGATGTGCGCAAACCAACCATGTATTTTATTTGTTCATTTTTTTTTTTTTTTAGAATCGATTCTTGCCTTCAAGAATCGATGCAGTAGATCACAAAAATTAGAATCGCGATTCATCGTCATGACGATTATTTTGCACACCCTTAGTATATAGTGCATAATCTAAAGAAAGAAAAAACTTAAATGCAGATAAACATAGTTTAATCATATTTCCGGGGTGCTCTGAACATGTCCCATGATGACGTCAGAAAAGAAAATGTAAAAAGCATCAAAATTGTCTCACAAATGTCATAAAACATTTTTTAAAGATGTCTTTTAGCATTCTTTAGAGAATTAAGGAAAGAAATACATAATTTTAGTAGCATATTTACATTATTTATAGGTACCCGATTCGCGCATGCGCAGAACGGATCGTGCTTCCGGGAGGGATCAGGTAGTGACAGCATACTCTGTAAATAGGGAGTGACTAGAACAACATCCGGGCATTTTGTCTGTTCTCGGTCTGCTGTTCTTGTGAATTAGGACAGTACTACGGCTTAGGCTGATGACGTTTCACGAGCCCATGAGAACGCACAAATACACATATTGAGAAACAGCCAACTGCCCTGTGCTGTCTTTAGTATTGTGTTTTTCTGTACAGTGTGCCCTTGGGTGTTTTTAAAGGCTTTTAACATAAAATGTATTATCATTATTAATTAAAGCAGTTCTTCCAATATTATTGGCCCTAAATTCCTCCATAATGAAGAGATATGAAAAAAGGATTTGATGATATTAAAAACCATGTTAAGATATCACAAATGGGTGATGGCAGTTGTGTCTGTCAGTTGCAGGAAATTAAACAGTATAAAAAAAAAAAAAACATATTTTCTTTTACTCTGATTTTCTTTGGATGATATTGCAAGTGAGTTTAATCTGAAACATTTCAAAGTAAAACAGAGAAAGACAAATCAGTTATGGTGTAATTGTAGAGAGATCTTTGAACCCTAAGGTTTGACCTCACCTGATTTTTTAATTCTAACTTCTCGTTGGTGCAGTCAGTGTTGTCATTTTTGCTCTCTTTCTGGAGATCAATATTAAATTCACAATGTCTGCCTTTTTCCATAGTGAATTGAAAAGATGGAGAAAAGTTAAGATTACAACTTGGACACTTTATTCGGTAGTTGTCCATTTCTTTGACCTGAGAAAAATAACACAGAAAATAAAACTTAACAATCAATGACAATAAAGAGGTTTTCTTTAAGACTAGAAGAAAAGGTGTTGATTTTCCTGCAATTAGACATATGTGATAAAACCAGGAAGAACTGCAGGTGTATTGACATTTAAAAGGTTTTACAGCTTTTCCATCAAAGTCCTGATTTTGCTGACAAAGACATTCACCTTTATCATTTTATGTATTCATTTTGTTACGTTGTAATTTTTAGGAATTCCTTTCATAATACGTTGCAGAGCGAAACATTTCACATAGAGAAACATTACCAAATTCAGATCTTCATTGTTTTCTTATATATCTCTCTAATCACAAGAACATAAGTAATGGTGTCTCACCTTTGAATTCAGGCGATCTCCTGGTTGATCTTGCTTCTGGTTTTTTTCACCTCCTGGGTGTTCATCTGTATCCATGGCCTCGTCGCTAGCTATGGAGACAGGTGATTGTTAGGTTTAAACTAACACATGTTTTTATTTTTTTGTTGCAGGTGTTATCTTAAATCAAGGAGAAATGTAAAGGCTTGGGATATTTGTCCTAGAGGTAATCGATTTGGATTCAGACCTATAGTTTTTAGAGAGGGTAAGTAGGCAAGGTTTTTGAAAGCATCACATCAAGGCCTTTAGACAGGATTCTTCTAACTAAGTCTCAGAAACTGGTGTCCTGAGATATTTAGATGTATCTATGCTACTTGAATATTTGTTTTTTAGCTTTAAAACTTAAATGGCTGCTGAGCAGGTAACCCACCCATGTATTTAAGGGTTTGCCGACTAAGTTGCAGAAGATAAGGCTTCAAGCACTGAAGTTTGTAACCTTAACTTAAAAGTAGAAATAGTAAAATCTGCTCTAGAAAACAAGACATTCATACAATGGTCAGGAGGTGGGTCTAAAGCAGGTTCTGCTGCCTGGTTTCCTGCTCCTTCATCCATGACATCACCATTAATCATAGTTGAAGCTGTCCAAGGAGTACTGCAGTGAAGAACATAGTAAAAGAGGAGTTATTAGCTCAGGGATTCAGTTTTCGTATGCTGACTTAGAAAGGACTACCTTTTCAGGAAAATCTAAAATAAAATTTATAGAATATAAAAAAAAAAGTTTGGTATAATTTAACAAAAGTGAAACTCATAAAGATTAATAGTGAAATATTTTAAGCCTGGATTTCTTGAATTGCAATACATGTCAGCTTTCTCAAAATAAAACCAAAGATTGCATTTCAGAAAATTTTTATTTTTCATAACGTCATTAAAGAGGTTATTTTTAACAACAGTTTCACTTCTCTGAGAAATAAGTTTATTTTTTTTTATATTCCATACTTGTTTGGCCTTCCTTTTACATATATCACAACATCAGGGTGACATAAAAATGATTAGCCTGTGGTTTTGCTAAGATATAACTGAAGCCCATGTTGCTTTAATAGTGATCTGCAGGTTTACTGCATCGTTGGAGATATCTTATACATATCAGGAACACTAACACCTGGTCAGTGAACTAAAATTTGGTCATTTGGCTGTTTGTGCATGTGTCAACTCCTACTGGAAAATAAATCAGCATCCCCAAAAAGGTTCTCAACAGAAAGAAATAAAGTAAAAGTAATGAAGCTTTTTAGTAGTAGTTGACTGATGATGTCAGAAAACATCACGTCAAGTGACATGGAACCCCATACTAACCATAGAAACTTCAAGGAATTATAAAAAGCTTACTTTGGTTATAAGGAGCTAAAAGGACAATCGGTTGACAATACATTTGTAATATAGAATGTAGCTGGCACAGAAAAAATTTGTTTTATGCTTATTTATTCATGCACTTTTATGATTACTTAAACAAATGTTTCCAAACCTTTATTGACTTGTGTGCCCCTTTGGGCATTTCGTCTTAGCATGAGTCGCCCTCTATGCCAAAAGTATTGATGATTGTCCAAAAGTGGAACGTACAATAACTGATTATAAAATAAAAACAATTTTACTTAATCTTTGAGCATTAAATTCTTCAGCATTTTTTTCTGTCCATCTCAAGTAAAAAAAAAAAAAAAACATAAATATGTTGCCTGGAAGTTAGTAACAAATCAAAATAAATACAAAATAATATCATATTATAAACCTGTATTTATAAAACTGGGGCTCCTCTGAGTAACTCCCCTATAATCATGATCATCATTTAAACTCAATGATTTGGAAACAAATTACAGATCAGAAATTATAATTAGACTGACTTAATTGGTTTTATTTTGTTTTCAACAAGACACATGATCTGCTTTGTTTATTTTATTTTTGTTATAAATGTTATTTAGCTAACACGTGTTTATAATGTTCATTCATTATAGTTTTTCACAGTGTTTGCTGGCAAAAAAAAAGAAGATTTTTCTGCATGACAAAGAAAATAGAAGCTGATTAAGCATCAGTTGGAGCGTGGCTTTATTCTGAACCAGACAATAAGCCTTTGGGAGTAGTTACATAGAACAAACCAGACAGGTAGATAGATATATGCTATAGCATGCACTCTAGGCTTGTTCACTCTTCCTTCAGACTCTGGGACTTTGATTCCGGAAAGAAAACCAAACTTTACTGTCATCTAAAAAGAGGACTATGGACGTGCCGCTCCCCTTCTATTTTGTAGCCCGTATATAGAATTCATTCACTTTCTTCAGGTAGCATATTCTCAGCAGTAAATCAATGTTCAACTAATAAAGCTTTTCTGTTTCAAATGTAAAGTAATCAAGCTTTTTTGCTCCTCTAATTAATTTCCTGATTTTTCAAGATTTACTGACTTCAGTTAAGGAAAGAAAAAAAAAACTTAAGTAAATAAGCTGTGGCTTTTATAGATCATGTTTGTACATTGAGGGATTTTTCTTTATAAAACACTTATGATGATTAAATCTTGGATATTTAATCTTGATGTAGCAGAAGAAATATCAGGTCAAGGATGTCAACTGAGTTAAGTTACACACATAGAGACACAACAAAGACCAGAAAGCTGATGAATATAAGCAAAAGAAGATTACCTGAAGAGCTGACAGTCTTCTGATCACTCTGTCTGTGGTGCTGTGCAGACTGACAGAGGCTGTGTTTTTTTTTTTTTTTTATAAATACCTCATCACGCCCATTGACCATGTGACTTACAGTAAACTCTGCAGTTCTGCTGAACAAGACCAGTTACTTTCACTTTTTTTACTTTCAGTTTCAATATTGCAGTTTGAAAATAAAGAGATAAGAAAAAGTGGTTTCAAAGACGATGTTATTGTTGCAACTTCAAGGTGTTTAATATTTAATAAAATATATTTCAAACACACATGTTCTGCTTTGTAAATATACACCCAACTGGCTTTGTTTTAGAACAAGAATTGAAAGATAATTCAGATTTCATTAATTGTTAAACAGTTAAATCTGTACAAATATGGAATCAATTCACGAAAACCTACTCCAGGTCAAACATATTTAGGTCACAAAACCTTAACAAAGTAGTAAAAAGCTAATAAACTAATCAGCCACTATCTACACATAGGAAGAGACAAATTAAGTTCAGAATGGATTTTATATTTGAAAACAAAAGTTTATCTGGAAGATTTTTTTTTCGAATTGGGTCAATAAAATTAAATTTTGGCAAAATAATATTTGATTAAAAGGTTTGCCTAATCAAAATATTAAGATTTTTGTGATTCTATTGAGTGTTTATGTAGATTTTATATAGTAATTTCTTTTATAATGTTAACTAAGAGTAAGAAAATTATATGAGAAAACAAATATTGGTAAGATAAGGCATTTTTAAATAGTTCTTGGTTTAAAATGTTATTTTTTATCTTCTGTGTATTTTATTTAATATTTTGAAGAAACAGCTGCTTGAGACTGGTTAGTGCAGACAATATTTAACATTTACTATATAGCCGCCTTTACTGGTTAAAATCTTTAGAGTAGACAAGGCAAAAGCATCTGACAAAACAACCCCCTTGAGTGAGCTCCCTATCTGCAGCAAAGATGTCAGCTCTCCTATATTGTCATGAGGATTGGGATACAGCCACAGAACTCCAATCCACTGTGTTGGTGATCCAGATGTCCACTATGCAAGTTGTATTGCCATCATTCTACAAGCACAATCTGGGAATGAATGAGAATTAAAAGAAGGCTGAGTAAGAGTAGTATTCTGTGTTGAGAGACATCGTAGACGATCAAGGAGGCAGAGATCAAAAGAAAGATCCCATCGTTATCAAATCTACTCTGAAAGACAACTGTGAAGTTTAATTCCCACAGTTCATGAAGAAGCTTGGAAGTTATCTTAATAAAGTCATGTTGGTAGCAGAGAAGGATTCAAGGGACGAGCAAAGGTGGCAAACCCACATAAATAACTGAAGAATAAAAGACAAGTTAGCAGAAAGATTCGGGGAGGTGGTCTATAATTTAGTCCACACCAGTGGTAATTTCATCAACCAGGACGGTGATGAAAATATTGTTAACGCCCCTTTTTCCCCTGACGATGATGAGACGATGAAGCTCAAAAATTGTTTGCAGAAAATAAATGACGAGAATAAAAATTTAATGAGACTAAGACCGGACGAAACTTACAAGCAAATGGACAAATGGACATTACAAACTGTAATGGTTTATAATTAATTTGTAATTGTTAATATTAGTGTTTCTTGAGCTCCATAGAGGTACAGCGTTTTTGCCCTGTTTGTCCAGCTGACACTGTGGCCAGTCCCACAGTGTCTCTCGCGCCGGTCAGTCAATAGTAGCACAGGGCTTATACTGGTCACTGGTAGTAGTTAACCGTGGCTAGCTCAACTTCGCAGTCATAGCGTTGGGCTGCAATACCGATGTACGGTTTTTTGGAGGAGTTGGGCGAAAAAACAGCGCCTGGATGTATGGAGCCATTTCATTTACAACACGAAGGACAACAAAACAACCTAAATGATAATGACTGACACCACAGCCCAATCAGACGTTGGGGAAGGAAGGGAAGTCTGTTGACTAAGACTAAAATTGATTTTCCTCATTTAGACTGAGACTAAGACTAAATTGGGAAGGCAATGACTAAATATGACTAAGGCTAAAATTTATTTTGGTCATTGTGACTAAGGCTAAGACTAAATTAAGGAAAGCTGATGAAATTAGCACTGGTCGAATACAAAGGTGAATCCAGCTGTTCTGCAGCAGTTAGATTTGCACAGCTCCCCTGAGAGTTTGTAGAGTAAAATTTAAGTCTTAAGCTGTATTCACACTGAACATGTTTTGGGGTTCAAAGCTTCTGATTTACATGCAAAGTCTAAGGGAACTAAGTTCAGAAAATGTAACTTTTGCCTCAGCAGCTTCAACCAATCAGACACACTGATCCACGAGTATCTTTTGGGACATAGAAACTACATGCAAGCTGTTATCGCTTCTGCACAGCTATCTGCATTTGAACAATAAATATCCAGGGGACAAAGTCTTTGCTGCACTTTGCTTGCATTTTGCTGCACTAAAACATTTTATTATTAACTATGACAAAACACAATGTCGTCATGTTGTCCCGTTGGCCTCATCAACCAGGACCTTCAGTGTGCACTGGGGTGGTTTGCAGCCGAGTGTGAAGTGGCCGGGATGAGGATCAGCACCCCCAAATCCTAGGCCATGGTTCTCCACTGGAGAAAGGTGGACTCCCCTCTTCAGGTGACTGGAGAGTTCTTATCTCAAGTGGAGGAGTTCAAGTATCTCCAAGACTTGTTCACGAGTGAGGGGTGGATGGAGGGTGAAATCGAAAGAGAGATCGGTGCACATCGGCAGTGATGTGGTCACTGTATCGGACTGTCATGGTGAAGAGGGAGCTGAGTAACAGCAGACAGCCGGGCAGCAGCAGACAGTAGGGATTCTCAGCAGGTTATGCTGGAGGTCTGGCGCTTGGAACAACAACTCAAGTAGGATCATAATCCTGATGAACTGACTGCACAGATGATGTTTGGAGCTGGAGCTTAAAAATGTGACAAAACTATTTTTTCCAACTCATCAAAGGACATAAAGCCAAGCTGCTCTCTAGCCTTTAGCTACAGAACAGTGCAGATAAGCAACCAGAGCATCGAGCATCCAGAGCGTCAAAGCAACTTGACTAGCGTTTGACCCTGTATCTAAATTTCAGCGTTTAAGTGTTTTTGACGCCCAAAACACGCTCGGTGTGAATGCAGCTTTTGTTTGTCATTCATTCAAAGTGTTGCGTATGATATACCAAAGGACTAATTCGGCATTTTAGAAATTATATTAAGTATGCTTTACTAATAGGCATTACATTTACACATGGAATTTCTAATTAATTAGAAATTAACTATTTCTAATAAACCTTTGCTCTCTTTGAACTACTTTGTTGCCCGAAAAAACAATATGAATGAGAATGGGGAAAGAAATGAAGGAAGAAAGAAAACAAAAGTACAGCTGATTTATAAAAAGACGTGTGATTAAAGCTTATGGAGGCTATATAAGCAGAGGGAAGGATGCTTTTGGTTTCATTTTGCAGCACAGATATAAGCAGTAGAAGGTTTTAAGAAACCACAGGCAGCTTAGTTGATCATAGTTCAACATCAATATCTTCTTTTCTGTTCTGCTGAGTAAAACATTTTGTAGAGCTGCACTGCCCCGATCATCTTGGTAAGTACAGACTCAAATCTCTGATATTAATTCAGCACCTGCTAAAATTGCATGTCTCTGCCCTAAAAACAGCAAACTGGCTATTTTGAATATTTATTTTCCTGTTATGAATGTGTTAAAATACAAAACGTTTGTTTTGACAATTAGCCTTCCAGCAGTTTGTTAAAGCTATGTTTGAAGAAAATGTTTGATAATTATTTTAATTAAACCCTGAACATATTTCATCTCTATCTTTTTAGATAAGTGAATAATGTCAGCCTCTACACGTAAGTTATTACCTTTTATTTCTAGTTGTCCTTCAGGTTTTCTTTTTTTTTAAATTAAATTTATATGTTTCCATGTAGTTCTGGATAAACCATGGAGGGAGCTACGCTGGGAGTAAGTCTACTTTAAAACATTTATATTTGCTCATTAAGCAGTCTGTTTACACCTGCTGGTTCTTACTCTGCTCCAGTAACTGATGAATTCCTGCACACATACACACACACACACACACACACACACACACACACACACACACACACACACACACACACACATATATATATATATATATATATATATATATATATATATATAGACCATTTACTTGAAAAAGCAGATTTTCCTAACTGCACAAACCTGAATTATAGGTTGATTCACTCCTTTGCACTGCAGCAACACCCATAGCTTCTCAGGTGTTGTGGTTGGTTGTGTCATTACTATAAATTAGAAAGGAAGCTCTTCAATCAACAATCACACTTCAATCAACAAGAAACAGACAGATTTGGAGAAGAGCATAAAACGGCTCAGAAAAAAAAAAAGCATAATGATATGCTCTCAAAATGAAACAGAAAGTAGCACAATGTATGATAAAATCAGCAATCTGATCCAGCTCTAAACGAGAGTCTGCAGTTATACTCATATGAAGAAGAAGTCTGCATTTTGATATGGATTCACCATTAGATAACAATGAAAAGAATAGAATAGAATAGAATAATGCATTTGGCTCACCCATCTGCTCGTTGGGTTAGATAGGAAATTCTCAGGTTAACCCATACACTGCTTATGTGGTGCAGAGTTTTAAAATAAGAATTTCCAAGCCAACCAGTGTCTGGACTCATCCTTGTAGAACGGGCGAGAAGCTCCATTATATAATATTACGGATGAATGGATGAATATAATTCTAAGATAATTTTAGTCTCTTTCACAGCTTAGTTAAGCCTCTCCTCAGTTTCTAAACAATTGGCGGTTTTAAGTTTAAAAAAACATTTAACACATTTTTATTTTGCCTGAGTTTCGCAGAAGCTTTGTTATGGTGGGTTTAGATCTTGTTAGACTTTAGTTTTTGTTATGTTTATTTTACAACAAAGGAGGAGTAACAAACTTCATGATTTACTTTCTATTTCTGTTCTCAGACAGAGACAGAAGGACCTTGTTTATGTGCAGGAGTACCAACCTCTAAAAGAAGACATCAAGTATCTGCGTGTCCTTTTGTATGGTCATGTTGGAGCCGGAAAATCCAGTTTCATTAACTCTGTCAGTAACGTTCTTCGAGGCCGAATGACAATTCCTGCTTTAACCAGTGCGATGACCTCCGACAGAAGCTTCACCATAAAAGTAAAAAAAATATATAAAGATTTTTTTCATCTCACAGTCACTCTCATTGTCAGTATTTTAATTTGAGAATGAACCTCACATATTCATGACACAAAGCTAGATATTAGAGCATTTTCCAAGTAATTCTGATTTTTCAAAGCTTAAAGCTTAAAACTGAGAAAAAAATAATAATAAAATGGTTCAGCTACTATTGCACTTGACAATATTGGCCTACTGGCTTATGATCTAAACTGATGTAAAAGTGCATGCACAGGTGTATAATGCAATCACTGCAGGGCAAACTGAATCCCTGACTTTAACCTACTGATCAGAAACATGGCTTCAATGTGAATTAACTATGCTCTCTGGAATAACATGTTTTTTTTTCTTTGCGTTTCAGTATGCAACTCATAAATTCAGTAAAGGACGGGGAAGTTCAAATAAATTTTACCCTGTGGTTTTCAACGACATCATGGGTCTAGAAGATGGGAACAACAGTGGGATTCATCCTGACGACATCAAGCTGGCTTTAAAAGGACATGTGAGGGAGGGTCACAAGGTAAAATTAGGACCAACTACCAGGACTAGTTAGGATAGTGTATAAGACATTTTGAGCTACAGTTGTTAAAGCTGAAAGAAAATTTAAATTGCCAGGTGGATTACTAAAAGGTTTTACAGGATTAAAGATATGATGTTGGTTCAAAAATGTAGAATTTAGTTCATGGTAACTGATTCTTGAAAGACATTAGCCGTTGTAGAAAAAAGGAACTCAATGAGAGGAAGCTTGGTGTTCAATAAAGTCCTTACACTTACAGGTAATAAAAATTGCACCCATCAACTTATCACTTTAAATCTAATGTGACTATGAATGGATGGTGTTGCTCCTATACGACAGTTATACAATTTAAACACGTATCAAATATATCCTGCCATACCCTACAGCCGTCTAACAAGAAGCAGACTGGAAAAGTCAAACTGAGAATTGGAAGAGGACCTCCTTTAATTCCCAAAGCACTGAAATCTGTGAGGACAAAAACAGTAAATCCTGGTTAGATATACATTTTAAAAGAAAGGTTTTTCCATTTGGCCTCTATGTACTACCTACATTTTTTAAAATTTTGATGGAGGTATGGACTGCTTACTCACACTGTTTGGAAGATAATAGGTGGTTTCTTTAGAAGGAAAGAGTTGCATTACCAACAAGTTCAAAGTTCTGATGGATCTTCAGACGAGAAGGAACACTGCACCATTGTCCTGTGAAATCCTTTACTTTAATGGCTTGAGCCAGGGCAGTTAATTGCTGCATCGACACACCCTGGTCAAAGTTTTTTCTTTATCAGTGATGATTACACACATGGCCATTTGAGCATCAAATGGTAAGACCAGGAAGCAAAATTGCAAAAAGCTAATCTTGTGTGTCTTCATTTCCAAAACTATACAACAGCAGTTTATGGACAGTGAGCCTTTTCAAAAGGTGGAAGTGGCTTTCCTCAATAATTAATGCACACACAGCCTTCTCTTCCTTGCTCCTCTTTTTCCTCTAACTAGCTGGGCTAATGACCAATCCAGTTTATGCAGCACTGACCAGCTTAACCCAGGAGCAAATAAGGGCCATAAGACTGACAAGTTGTTTTAGCTGACCCTGATCCTTTTGAATAATAAATCAGTAGGTCTCAGTAGGTTTACAAATATCCTGGCCTAATTAAACTTAGACTTGGTTTTACAAAAGCAGTAACTCATGAGTCACCATGGTGATTTATTCTTTGCAGCTAGCCTGTTCCAGACCAGGCTAACAGCCTGGCTTTGTTAATCCTGCTCTCTTATTTGCCCAATCAGTGGTAAGAAAAATCAGAAAAACATTAATTTTGTTGCTGATTCTGTTTCATTCTTTGTGCAGTTTCATATCTTTTTTGCAGACCACATAAAAATGCACCAATAAATATTTTTTCTATATAGACAAGCACTGTAATAATAACAGCATCATGGTAGGCTATTATTGACTCAGCAAAGTTAACATGGGTGATTGCCTGGGGACTGGGTTAAGAGACATTGAAGAAAAGGGAACTCTGTTGATTTTAGCTTGTTCATCTGCTGCTTTCTCATTAAGAGATAAAAGAAAAGCTCCCGTTGTCTTTTACTGGTCTTGATTTTCTTATTGCCTTGAAATTGTTAGATGTCTTATATCTCAATATCTGAGATGTTGCTTTATCCATAAACACTGAACAAGAGAAGCACTATTTTTGTTTTATTGTATCTTTGTCGCATGTACAAAAACAACAAATAATTTGTTAGTTATATGTTTAATAAACTGTTGGGGAAAATGTTTTGGATCTAGTGTAAAATGTGTGTAATTAAGTTAGAATTCAATGCTTCATCTTAATGGTTTTTTTTATAGTTCAACCCAGCAGGCAAACTGGAACGTGATGATTTTGGTTACAACCCCTCGCCCTCTACTGATGACAAAGTGCACGTTCTGGCCTGTGTTTTGTCAGCCAACACTCCACAAATTAATGCTTCAGTTCTGCAGAAGATGAAGAATGTCAGAGAAACAGCCAGTGAGCTGGGTAAGTTTAGACCACTGAAGAAAAACAAATCATAAAGAAGTCTGATCAGACTTAATCGAAATCTTTTCATAACTTTCCACCACTGATATCTGCTGGAATGTCCTTCTTTATTATTTTCTGTTTACCCCAAATCAGAAAGACAGTGTACACGTCCCAGTAGGGAATATTTCCCACCTCTAACACTGTGCCTATCCACAGGAATTCCCCAAATCGGCCTGATGACCCACATTGATTCTGCCTGTGGTGAAATTGAAAAAGACCTGAAGAATGTGTACAGGAGCAAACACCTGCAAAAAAAAGTGAGCTTTTTAAAAATCCTTTTCAGTTCTGAGATTTAACACATTTTCAAGTCTAATTGTTAATTGCTTTTACATTCAGATCAAAGACTTCAGTTCAGCAGTGGGACTTCCTCTGAACTGCATCTTTCCTATAAAGAACTACAGCGATGAAATTGACATGAAAGATGACGTTGATACTCTGATCCTGAGTGCCCTGACGAAAATTATTGACTTTGGAGATGACTTCATTGAGAAATGTTAAACTGAACCTGACAGGAAAAACAATGGTTTCTGTAATTTTTTTTGAAGCATGTATTTTAAAAAAAACTATATAATGAGGGATAGAGTTATTATAATATAATCATGGCGAAAACATATATGAAAATATTAAGAGGCAACTGCCAGCTACCTACAGTGGAGTATAAGGGCCATTATAGTGAGAGAAAATGTTAAAGAGTAATTTCACACATAAAGGAAAACATATTTTTTTTCCAAGAATAAAGATATACATTTTTAGTATATAATCATAAAACTCGGAATTTAATCATTGATAATTATGGTCTTCTTTATAGAATTTAAAACTAATAATTTATCAATTCCCTGATATTTTGGCATAAATGTACAGCTTGTTGACCATATGATTTTTTTTCTTGATCTATAGTAGACTTAATGCTCCACTGAGGTAACTCATTGTATAGGGGCTAAAAAGGACAATGTTAAATAAAAAAAAATGAAATAAAAGTGCAATGAAATTAATAAACAAACAATTTTAACGGAATACACAATTTATCTAATGGTTAATCAGATAATTGCCAAAATATGCCATAATATTTAAATGCATGTCATGAAAAAAAATTGTATTTATATATTTTAAGACGTTGGGTTTATCTGGTAATGTATTATTTTAGTGCTGATTTCATCAAAGGAAAGATTTTCTTAATTATTTATTTTTAGCGGCAGTTGTTAATTCCAAAGATATTTGTTGTACATTCTCTAGGTGTTCGGACATTTTCCTTTTGATTACTGTTCATAGGGATATGATCTGATCTGATCTTGGGCACTGAGCTATTCTGTTGGAATCTTACGTGCTGTATCTGTTTTTGATTGATAAATCTATTGTTGACGTGTGTGTTGGGGGGTGGGGGATGACAAATAACTTTCCTTGCTGGTTTAATATGGTATGCAATGCTTAACTGACAAATAAAGGACAATTTTACTTGATGGGTGGCAATCCTTTTCTGTAATAATCTACATTCAGGAAGGGTGCAAGTGTTAGCTTGCCTTGTTAATCCCAATTCAAATGTGAAAGTATAGAACAAATTCAGTATTCAATTAGAATAATGTGCAGGTGTGAGATTGGTTAGTAAAAAGCTCAAACTTAAAGATAAAAGAAGAGTGATGAACATTAATGGAAACTCTTAGTTACTATAGATTGGTGTGTACATAATTTTGTAAAGGTTTTGGTTGTGTGGGTTTTGGGTCATAATTGTATTAATGAAGATTGGTGTATGCAAAATGACTGTAAATGGACTGTGAATGGACTTTTGGAATAGCAGGGAATTGGGATAATTGTCTGTGTTTGGGGCTAGAGGAGGAAGGACTATTAGTGCAACTTTTCAGGCACAAGCACTAAATTATATGTAGAAAATGTATTTATGTATATACCTAATAATACCTAACCTACAAGTCAATTCATATTATTTTTACAGTGCCAATACATAACACATGACTTCTCACAACACGTTACAATTCAATCAGATCGTACTGTCAGATTAATTGAAATGTTATATCTAAGGAAACCCAGCTGATGTAACGTACAGGAACTGGACCCAGAATTCAAATCAGCACAGGTCAGTGATGTTTTAAAAACAAGCTTTATTGAGAAATAAAACTAGCGAGAGCAGATGGGGCATGCTGCTCGCTCCTAGACAGGAAACCTCCTGCGGCACAGACAACAAGTTAGCGATCAGCTGATAGTAACGGCTTGAGTGTGAGAAGCTGGATCACTAACCTTACTGTGGGTCTTTTGTGTCTGAATATCGGCAAACAGGTCTGGTGGTGGAATATTATTTTTGGCTGGGCCTTGGGGAGGAAACTGTTGGGCAGCCGATAGGCAGGCAGATACTCCGTTAGGGGTTTCTACAAGGGCGTTTTCCAGAGGGTTCCGGATCAGACTGCTGAGGGGCTGAATACTCCGTTTGGGGTTTTTCCAGGGGCATAATCCAAATGGGTCTGAGTCCGTTAACAGAGAGGCAAACCTTCCAGCGGCTGTACAGGTAGGGGGATCGTTCGGTCCAGAACTGGTAACAGGCAGGCTCAGATATATTTCATGGGTTAGGAAGAATCCAGTACTCATGGGCAGGCAAGGTCGGATAACCAGGGAGGCAACACTAGGCAGGTCCAAGGACAGATCGGGTCCGGTCTCCAGGCAGACAGGCTTATTCAGAAACTGGCAGGCTTGGTTACAGTCAGCAGAAACAGGTCAAGCAACAGATAGGCAGAATAAGGAATGCTGGAATGCTTGTGCAGGTTGCTTGAGACGATCTAGCACTGGCAGCTGATCGAGTTTTTATCTGAAATACAGTGGGGAGAACAAGTATTTGATACACTGTTGATTTTTCAGGTTTTCACACTTGCAAAGCTTGTAGAAGACTGTATTTTTTATCATAGGTACTCTTCAACTGTGAGTGATGGAATGTAAAACAAAAATCCAGAAAAATACAATGTATGATTTTTAAATAATTAATTCCCATTTTATTGTGTGAAATAAGTATTTGATCATCTATCAAGCAGTAAGAATTTTGGCTCTCAAAGACATGTTAGTTCTTCTTTAAGAGGCCCTCCTGTTCTCCACTCATTACCTGTATTAACTGCACCTGTTTGAACTCGTTACCTGTATAAAATACACCTGTCCACACACTCAATCAATCACACTCCAGCATCTCCACAATGCCCAATAACAGAGAGCTGTATGACCCCTTGCTCACACTGGCTCCGGTGCGGTTACCGAGCCGACAGAGACCGCAACTCCCGCACACCCCCTCTCACACCGCCCTTTTGACTACGGTGCGGTGCGGCTCTGCGGCTCCAGCAACAGGTCCGGAGATTTAACAGAGGTTCACTTGAGTTCACGTAACTTCACGCGATAACACGGCCCAAATAAAGGATTTTTGCGAGAGCTTGTTGCGGAGGGCTCCGGCACGCCGCAAGGATAGCTTTCTTGCGGAATTTTCTGCAGCGCCGGAGTGTCTCGGTAACCGCAGCCGGACAGCTCAGCAGCCGGTGAGAGAGGTTTACGTCTTTTTAATGACTTGGAATCACTGCGGCGCCGCACCCACCGCACCGCAAGGGTAAGACCGGAGTCGGTGTGAGCCTGGGGTGAGGACATCAGGGATAAAATTGTAGACCTGCACAAGGCCGGGATGGGCTACAGGACAATAGGCAAGCAGCTTGGTGAGAAGGCAACAACAGTTGGTGCAATTATTAGAAAATGGAAGAAATACAAAATAACGGAAAATCTCCCTCGGTCTGGGGCGCCATGCAAGATCTCACCTTGTGGAGCATCATTGATCTTGAGGAAGGTGAGGAATGAGCCCAGAACTACATGGCAGGACCTGGTCAATGACCTGAATAGAGCTGGGTCCACAGTCTCAAAGAAAACAATTAGTAACACTCTACGCCGTCAAGGATTAAAATCCTGCAATGCACGCAAGGTGCCCTTCCAAAAGCCAACGCATGTCAAAGCCCGTCTGATGTTTGCAATAGACCATCTGAATGATCCAGAGGAGGAATGGGAGAAGGTCATGTGGTCTGATGAGACAAAAATAGAACTTTTTGGTTTAAACTCCACTCGTCATGTTTGGAGGAAGAAGAATGATGAGTACAACCCCAAGAACACCATCCCAACCGTGAAGCATGGCGGTGGAAACATCATTCTTTGGGGATGCTTTTCTGCAAAGGGGACAGGACGACTGCACCATATTGTGGGAAGGATGGATGGGGCCATGTATCGTGAGATTTTGGCCAACAACCTCCTTCCCTCAGTAAGAGCACTTAAGATGGGTCGTGGCTGGGTCTTCCAGCATGATAACGACCCAAAACACACAGCCAGGGCAACTAAAGAGTGGCTCCGTAGGAAACATCTTAAGGTCCTGGAGTGGCCTAGCCAGTCTCCAGACCTGAATCCAATAGAAAATCTTTGGAGGGAGCTTAAAGTCCGTGTGGCCCAGCGACAGCCCCGAAACCTGAAGGCTCTGGAGGAGATCTGTATGGAGGAGTGGGCCAAAATCCCTGCTGCAATGTGTTTAAACCTGGTCAAGAACTACAGGAAACATCTGATCTCTGTAATTGCAAACAAAGGTTTCTGTACCAAATATTAAGTTTCATTGTTCTGGTGTATCAAATACTTATTTCACACAATATAATGGAAATTAATTATTTAAAAATCATACATTGTATTTTTGGCCAACTTTGAGTTTATTGCTTACGCTTCATTGGAATAATAAATTAATGAACTATGACCTCTGATTGCAGTTATTTTATAAACTCCTAATCAATAAAAATAAAAAAGTAAAATTGCACAACAGTATTTATGCTAAAGCAACACCGTGTCAGAGTGTTTCATGCATGTTTCTATGTTATCTATGTGCAACAGAAAACTGAACCTCAGAATCTTGTTCTAAATGCTCCTCTTTTTTTAAGTACACACACCCTTTAATGACAATCACATTATCACAGTACTGTAAGCTCTAAAGCTTCAAAGACTGATTGAGAAACTCAGCAATAAAAAAATTGGCTCAAGGACATAGACTGCAAAATTATCATCCCTTATCCCATAAACACACAATAGATCTTTCAAAGTTAAAAGTGAAAGTAGCTGCTGTTACTGCAGAGAAGGTGCTGAGTTTACTATAAGTCACGTGAGCGGGATAGGGTGTTGCATCATTTTATAAACCTGAGAGATAAGCAGGAAAAGGAGGGCAGAACGCCTAATTATTGAAAGACTGAGACCTTAAGGTAATATCATTCTGCTCAGCAAAAAAAGAAAACTACTGCTAATATATTGCTGTAAGTATATATATCTTGCAAGTGTTTCTACCGTATCTATGAAAAAAGTTTACAATGCAAAAATAGAAATCTAAATAAGTAATTTTTTTCTTAAAATAAGTGCATTTTTTCTTGAATTGAGGAGGTAAGTGAGACACTTTGCCAATGGAACAAGACAATTTACATTTAATATTGAAATAAAAATTGCTTTGTCTTATGTTGTGATATTTTACCTATAGATAATGAATGTATGTATAACTAACAAGAACTGGAGTTGCAGTTAATGGATAAATCCTTCAAAATCAAGGGTAAAACCGATTTAATTTTCTTGGTTGAATAATTCTAACTAAAGCCTGTTACTCACCAGGATTTTAGACCTCTCACACTCTGGGTGGCTTCTGGACTGGCTGTTAAAATCCACTTATTCCCTAGTTTAGTGACTTAGGCCAGGCTATCAGGAGTTATTAATGACCAACCAAAGAAATATTTGTCTCTGTTTATTCAAATGTCACGTAAAGGAGGGTGAATCTGGCCTAAGTGATAAGCCATTTGCTGTACGAAGCACCAACAACTGCAAGTTAAACAATTATGTCTTAATTTCTAACAATCCAGCATTACAGGAATCCAACACCTATGCAAACACTACACACTACTACAAAGTAAAACCCAAGGTAGACCAATTGAATAATTTGAAAGAGGGTAAAAGGGAGTCTAAGAGTCCATTGAGATGGCTTATAAAGGGAATCCAAGGGAGAACAAATGTCATTAATGTCCATTCAAAAACAGCAGCAGATTTATAAGCAGTAACAAATACCATTAAAACAATGTAACTTCATTCAGCTGATAATGGTTACTGTTAACAAATGCATTAACAATATAGCATTGTAGGACCTCAGTAAAACTACATTCAAATAACTTAATTAGATAAAGGAGAGGAGGGTGCTTTGATGCAGAGTCAACAAGGCAGGATCAAGATGGTCGGTCCCTACCATGTGGTCTGGAGTGGGGGAGCAACAGGCTGGATGTGGTATGAATCACAAAATGGTGGACCTTATCAGATGACCTGGAGGGGAGGGTTGGACCACAAAGGTGGACGTATATTAGCTTGTAGAACTTATAAAATGGCCGCTCCATTCCTATTACAAAGGGGGAGGTTGGACTACAAAACTCCAGAC